TTCCCAGCTTTCAGGTCCTGCGAAATGCAGAACTTCCTCCCCAGAGGCAAAAGACCCTAGCTTAGTTCCTACAGCTTATACTTTGCTGCCAGACAGAGAAGCTGCCGGCTTCGCTGCCCGCTGTGTGTGTACCTGGCAGCCGCCCCAGGTTCAGCCCAGTTATCCTTTTCTCACTGGTCCTTCTTCTTCAGTCACCTCACCATGCCTTTCTGCCCCACCAAGTATCTGAAGAGGAACAGGCGCCTGCCCAGGGGTAAGTGGATGACCAAAATCCTAGGCAGGCTGTGAGAATAGCAGCCTGGGAACCTGGAAAGTTACTCTTGGTATTTGCTGCCTCCAAGCCAGTAAAGAGACATGAAGGAAGGAGGGAAGACCTACAGGCCAAGGCCAGTTCAGCCTGGTGCAGCCTGGCAGGATGGGCAGCGAAGGCTGCACCCTGGGGGGTCAAGGCTGCATCCTGGGGGGTCACCGCCCACAGCAGGTTGCCTGTTCTGCCCGTGGGTGCTGTTGGGTCACCTCATCTCGTCTACTGTTGTTTATCTTTTGCGTTCTGTGTGCTCTGTGTGTCCCCTCTCTATGCCAGGCTCTCCCAGTGCTTAACTGGCACAAGATGCAGACAAAGTGGAGGTGGGCTGACAGGCAGCAGAGATCTGTCATGTCAACGTATTCTGTGTGCTTGAATGTACTGGATGCTTTGGGACAGTGACAGCTGTGGTTGGAGATGAGAGGTCAGGAAAGATTCTTGAAGGTGACATTCAAGGAGAGACAGGAGTGACAGTGTCAGGAGGAGCAGCTTTCTGGGCACTGGGTAAGAAATGAGCAGATACAAACCATAAACAGAGGCCATGCTTGGTAATGCCACACACAAAGAGGAGGCAACTAGGGACAAAGAGGCAGGAGTGGGGAACCAGGCCCTGATGATGGTAGCAAGGTCACGACTGGCATGGGTGCTCCTGGGAGGACTGAGCAAGGTGTCGGGCTGCTCTCAGTCTTAGCTGGGTCTCTTTGGCTTCTGTATCGAGAATAGATTTAAGGAGTCAAAAGAGAGATGCCTGGACACTGCCAATCCTCCATTTGAGAAATGATTCTGACCTCAACCAGGTAGACAGTGAAAGGTGATTCAGTTCTGAAAGATGAGCAAATGGGATTTGCTGACAAGATATGAGGTGTGAGACTAGAAGGGCGATTGTGTCTGTTTTCAACCTAAGTGAGAGTTGGAGTAACCCTAGCCAAAAGGATAGCCAAGCCACGCCCAGAGATGTGATTGGTTCAGGTATGGAGGGTGGAGCAATTGTGAGTTTGGAAGTCATTAACATATAGCCAGCATTGAAAGCCTTGTGACCAGTGAGTTCTCTGACAAGGAGTCTATCTAAGTGCAAGAAGAGAAGGATCCAGGCCCCCTCCAGCTCTCTACCTTGGCTGCCTGACCCTGAATGGAACCAGGCTTGATACAACAGTAGGGGTCTCTTGTGAACATGCTACATTGTGCCTGTGCAATATCACATGGCTGTGGAATTAACAGTCATTCAGACCCACAGTCATAGATCTGATAGATCTCTATCAATGATTTCCCACACAAGGCAGTTTTGCGCCCCCAGGGAGCATCTGGCAGTGTGTGGAGGTGTTCATTGTTGTCACAGCCTCATGGGGCAGGAGAGACTGGTGCCAGTCTAGTGGGCAGAGGCCAGGTGTTTCCTTTAAATATCCTGCTTATTAAGTACAAAACAGACCCCACCCACCCTAAAGAACCACCCAGCCCCAAATGCTCTTAGTGTTGGGACTGACCCTGCTCTCCTTGTATTAACTGAATGTGGATGTGTAGGTTTGCTCGATAGCCTAGGTGCTGAGCCAAGCTGATACTCCATTTCATCCTAACAAGATAGGCACTTTCTCTACCCCAAAGCTGTGGGACTGGATGCTTTGAGGATTAAGTCCATGTGCTCCACACGGTAGTGCTGAAGGTTGATCCCTGAGTGTGGGGGCCACCACTACCTGGGATGCATGGTAGAGAGGTGGTGGCACAGTGACCACTCAGATTAGTTTAAAGAGTAGAGGAGGGCAGAGGGATGGCTCCAATGTCAGTTGAACTCATGTGGTAGGAGGGAGACCAAATCTCACAAGTTGTCCTTTGACCCCACATGAACATACATGTGCATGTGTGACTATATACATACACATGCACGCACAAATAAATAATAATGCAATAAAAGGGCTTGAAAGATGGCTCAGCATTTGAGAGCATTTACTGTTCTTGTGGATGGCCCAGGTTCTATGCCCAACACCCACATGGCAGCTGATGATTGTCTTAGTTTAGGGTTACTGTTGTAATAAAACACCATGACAAAAAGCAACTTGGAGAGGAAAGGGCTTGTTTATTTGGCTTATACTTCATTTTTGTAGTCCAAAACTGAGGGAAGTCAGGGCAGGAACCTGGAGGCAGGAACTTGAAACAGAGGTCATGGAAGAACACGGCTTACTGGCTTTCTCCTCCTGGCTTGCTTAGCCTGTTTTGCTTTGTTTTTTATTTTTTTCCTCTAACTCTGGACCACCTGCTTAGGGCTTGGCCCCTCCCACACCCGTCATTCCTACAGGTGGTCTGGATGGAGTCATTTTCTCAGTTGAGGTTCTTTCCAGATGACTATAGCTTATGTCAAGTTGACTAACCTGGACAGTGATCATCATAATTCCAAATTCAGGGGATCAGGCACCATCTTCTAGCCTCTGAACACTGCGTGCACACAGTGCATGTACATACATGCAAGCAAAACACTCATAAAATAAATGTAAACAACGATTTTTAAAATGTTTAGAAATAAGAGGGAAGGGGCGGGAACAACAGCCATAGACCGTCATCTTCCATGATGCATTTATTCCTGAAATACTCGCTGTCACTTTTTTTCTTTGAATCTACTATTCATCTTTGCCAAGTAAAGAGAAAAAGTAGGCATAAACTGTTGGATTCTATAAAAGCCCTAAAATTTGTTTCAACCACCATTTGATCTTCCTTGCACTCCACTCAGTTACGGCAAAGCTTGTGTGCTGAGAAAAGAAGAAACGGGTGAATGAACCTGCCATTGTATCCCGCCCTCTACTTGTTTGTTCATGCATCCAGTGTTTAACTTCTCTGTGAGCCCTGGCTTCTGCATGTGTAAAATGCTCTTAGTAATATTCCTTCTTGTGGTATCAATGAGGACTGTGTGTGACTGTGAATGTGTCACATGTAATAGGTTCCTTAGATGCAGGGATGTGACTGTCACTTCTGAACAGCATGACGCAAGAGGGACCAATTTACTATCTATGGAAACAACTTTGTCCCAACAGGTGTTTGTATATTTGAAGCAGTGTCGTTAAGATATTGGACATTAGATAATGAAGGGCCTTTGCCCCAGGAGTTGAGAAACAAAAGTGAGCCCTATGTATGCCTTAGTTGACTGCCAGAGGACGTCTCCAGTCTGTGGTATAGGAAAGGGACACACAGATGGAGGACACTGGCCTTCACAGGTAGACACAACACAGCTGGGAATCTGGGAGATCAGAGCATGAGAGCTTATGGGGTAGTGTGGGTAGTGTGTGAAAAGAAGATGAAAGGGCTGCACAGAGACAAAGCACCCATGGGAAACTTGCTGTGAACCTGTCATCATGAGTATTTGAGGAAACCACCTAAGACTGAGGAAAGAACGGGTTTGAAGTAGCCATGTCCACATTAACACAGGATGGAATGGTGCTGTTCCCACCTGCCAGAATGGAAAGCCGCACAACCATGGTGCGTCCCATGGGTGGGACATACAGAGAGCTTTTCCCTCCACAGGGGAACCACGAGCTCTGCCCTGAGGCCTCTAGATCCACCTAGGAAACTCCTGCCATGAGCCTAACTTCGTCTCAGAGAAAGGTTCAAGAGTATTTATAGGACTATGAAGTCCTCAAGCACCCAACCATTGAAAAACCACCATGCCTAGCACCTACTCAAAAACATCAGTGATGAGAAGAAAACAAGGCCCAGTATGAGAGGACAAGTAAATAGCTGAAAACAATGGAAATGTCATACATTTTAAGATTAACAGACTGAGACATTAAAATAGTTTTTTTGTTATTTTGGTTTTTTTTGTAGCTGAATTCAGGGTGTCCTAAAAGCTCAGCTGAGACTTGAGAGATACATACAAATCATAATGATTTGTAGGCCAAATCATTATTTCTGGAGAGCAAGCCTTCCATGTATGAATTGGAAAAATAACTCACATGGGTTGAACAGGGAAGGTGAAAGTTTGGTGAGCTTGAAGCAGTAGAAACTACGTGTGTTTGCTGTTATTTGGGGGGTTTTGTTTGTTTGGGGGGACAGGTTCTCTCTAGGCCTGAAAATTTGTAGCCCAGACCAGCTTCACACCTGTGAATCTCCTGCCTCAGCCACCAGAGTGCTGGGATTACAGGTATGTGCCACCATGCCTGCCTTTGTTGTCATTTTCTGCTGGTGCTCTGACAAGTGACCATGAAATCAGTGGCTTAAATTCAACAGCTTGATCTATGTGATGTCTGTATTCTGGAGATTACAGGTCTGGTTTAATTCAAGGGGCCTGTAATCTTGGTGCTTACAAGGTTATGTATGGGGTAGTCAGCTACACTAATGGTAAAGCACACAGAGAGTGTCACACACAGGGTTGACACTGATTTAGGCAAACATGGTGAAGCTACTCTAGGGACTGAACTTCTCTGAGCTGCCCTAAGATAGGCATTTCCCCCTATCCCAAGTAGTGTCCCAAGTAGTATACTTTTAATGATTTGTTTTGATATGGAAACAAATGAACAAATACAAACAAACCAAAGTGAGAGCAAGGGAGAAAAAAGAAAAGCCAGAAAGGCCCCCATGGAAAGGCCTGTGAGATGTGGAAAGACATTGGGTGCAAACTGGAAGCAAGATGAGCTGAGCTCACAGGTGTCCAGAGGGGACCTGCTGTCCTACATGGGGACCCTGCAGTAAGCCTTGCCTCTCTCTATGTGTCTTGCAGGTGGTTCCGGGGAGCGAGAGAAGGTGCCAGCCAACCCTGAGGCGCTCCTGCTCATGGCCAGCTCCCAGCGTGATATGGAGGACTGGGTGCAGGCCATCCGCCGTGTCATCTGGGCCCCGCTGGGCGGAGGTACTTCCCGTAGCTCGCATGCCCACCCTGTAGAACCCTTGTCTACAGGTAATCTTGTCCTCTTGCCCTGAGCCCACAAGTTCTCTCTCACTTGGGACTTGCTGGCTACATCCTGCATGTCTGATGGCAGCCTGGTCCTTTTGTTACTGTCCTTGAGATCGTGCCTCCCACCTAGTACTTAGTCCACTTGTGGGGGACACAAGTCTCCAAATATAGGCCTGTGGCCTTTATATGCTCATCTCCGTGCATCTAGACACCCTGCTGAATGCTGAGTGGTCTTCACACAGAGTGTGTGGGGGCCACACATTACCCTGTGTTCATAGTCAATGCCTCACTCTTCACCATTCCCTTTTCCTAGGCCTCCCTGCCACACTGGAACCCAAGCCAGACCCCCAAGCCCACTTCCTGCCCTTAATCCACTGTTTGCTTGCTTGTTCATTCAAAGCATTCAGTTAGTGGTGAAAGAGACCTGGTCTATTCCAGGTACTTTGGAATTCAGTGGTGAACAAAGCAGGTCTTGCCCTTGGCTCCCATGCCTTACTCTCTGGAGCAGTCTATAGACAAGTGCAAATGTCTGAAGGTGTTCATGAGATGTAAGGGAGCAAAGGGACTGAGGAAGAGGACAGTGGGAGGGCTAGGCAGTGGGACCATGGAGAACAGTGTTTAGACATCACTGTGAATGTAACGGGGCACCCAGGATAGTGGTGAGCAGGAGATAGGTGGGGCTGGACTTGGATTGCAAGCCTTTTTTTGTAGTCATCATGTAAGGAGTGGATCACAAAGACAAGAGTGGCCATAGCAGGCTGGGACAGTGAAACAAGCAGAGATGAAGAGACAGCTGGGGTGGCTAGCCACAGATGAATTCTAAAGGGACGTTTCTGGGCTTTTCCCAGGTCTAGTCCTGGAAGAAGAAAAAGCAAGTGCTGCCTCCAGACACATGGCTGTCTTAATAGGTTGTTGTGCATATGAAGTAATCCGGAAAGAGTGTTTATGACAGTGTCGCCATGCTGTGGGGAGGGGAAGGAAGGAACAACTCCCTTCAGAACACAGAGACTCAGAACACAGAGATCCAGCAGGCTGGTTGTAGCCATGGTGTGAATATCCTTTCTCCCTGTAATATTTGTCACTTAGGGGCAGACCTTCACTTTGGGGGCTTCCAAGCCCATATCCAGAACTGACAAGCCCCATGCCCTCCACCTCCTACCTCACAAGCTCTCCTTTCTTGTTGCTAGCTATGTCCTGCCTGATCATCTTCAATAAGCCTTGTAGAGAAGAGTAAATGTAATGTTAGAAGTTAAGATTGTTCTCCTGGGCCTCATTGGGGCAACCTCATGATCACAGCTGACTTGACCCACAGAGCATTTAGTGGCCTGTGAAGACCAGAGCCACTGAGAGGCAACCTCTGTAGCTTCAGAGGACCTCTTTTTGTGCCAGGACATCAAAAGTGAAGCCAAGGAACAGAGCAGAGTCCAGAGCAGACATCATGTGCTTGGACTGTAGCCCATAAGAGGCAGTGAGCATCAGAGGGAATTTACAGAGAGGAAAAGGACTAATAATCTATACTGAGTAAGCCAGAGGACATGCATTCCATAAAGGTCAATTAAGAGGTTGGAAAAGAAAGCAGTGAGTTAAGGAGAAGATGTTTGTAACATGTGAACCCATCACAATTCCCAACCCAGTAAGGCAAAGGTGAGCAGATAGAAACGTGAGCATGGCTTGAATGGGCACGTAGCAAAGAAGCACTCCTCATGGCCTGTGAACATGGTGAATGGGCTCAAGCTCATTGGTCACCAAAGATATGTGAATTAAGTCCGTCCGGTGGTACATCTACTTGTCACCCTAAGTGTTGCATATATCAGAGGGAAGTTGCTTGGAGGTATCTGGTAAAGTCACTGCCCTGGCACACAGAGATGCAGTTGTTTGAGTGACTGGGTTTTAGTTTGAGGTATGTATTAGATGCTGAAGTTTGGGTGTCAGGTAAGCACCTACATACTTATGTCTTGTAATCAGGAGGATGGGACCAGGCTGGAATGAGAATTGTCAGGCTATTGGCCGCATGAGAATGGGCGAGACCTCAGAAAGCAAGTGTGTTGTCAAGATAGCAAAGGATACCCTTGAACTAACCACAGATAAGAAAGAAGTCATGAGCGCTGGGCGGTGATGGAGCACACCTTTAATCCCAGCACCCAGGAGGCAGAGGCAGGCAGATCTCTGTGAGTTTGATGCCAGCCTAGTTTAAAGAGTGAGTTCCAGGACAGCCAAAGCTACACAGAGAAACCCTGTCTTGAAAAACAAACAAACAAACAAAAAACCAAACAAGCAAACAACAAAAGCAAAAAAGAAAAGAAATCAGCATCAATGGTTGGCAAGTGCTGTGTGATCCCTGGAGGAGGGTGCAGTTGAGCATGCTCATTGGTTTTGGTTGAGTTTGGTCACAGTGGTCATGACAAATGACAGCAGGGGGCTGGGTGTATGTGTGCATAGCAACTCTTCCAGGAAGTCATGTAAAAAGAAGGATAGGACAGTGGCTGGAGGAGGAAGCTGAACAAGGAGGATAGGAAGGTTTTGATGGGATACAAAATAGTATTGCAAAAGGCTTCTGGTACAGGAGAGAGTCAGAGCACCCGGGTCTCCAGATACGGAATCTTAGCACACCGAATCAGGCATCAGAACATCTGAAAATCCGTGAATGTAATAAGTATATCAGTGTCTAAAAATAAACTCACATGTTCATTCATTAGACTCAGAAAAATGGTTTCTATCAAACTGGAACATAATATGGAAAAAGACATCTTTAAAAGCCCCAGGGGTAGGAATGGGGAGATGGCTCAGTAAAGTGTTTAATGTATAAACATGAGGACCCAAGTTCAGTCCCCAGAACCCGTGTAAAAACCACATGTGGTGGCGGTATATACACTCTTAATTCCAACACTGGGAAGGAAGAGACGGGAGGATTTCCTCAGACTCACTGGTGAGCCAACCTAGTCTAAAATGGCAAACTTTAGTGTGTTTAGTGTGTTTAGTGAGAGTGTGTCTCAAAAATAAAGAAGATGACATTCCTGAGGAATGACACTTGACATTGACCTCTAGCCTATGTGTGAGCCCCACCACCACTGCTACCACATGCTCAGGGCTGGAAAGAGGGTTTAGTTGGTAAAATGCTTGTCATGCAAGTATGAGAACCTGAGTTTGATTCCTAGCACCCACATATAAGTTAGACCTGGCAGCATGAACCTGCAGTCTCAGCACTGGGGAGGAAGAGACAGACTGGAGGATCCATTCTAGCCTAGTTGGTTAAGTGAGAGACCCTATCTCAAAGTAAGGTGGAGACTGCCAAGATGGCTGAAGGCACTTACCACCAAATCTGATGACCTGAGTTTGACCCCCAGAACTTACATGGTCAGAGGAGAAAGCAAACTTGAACAAGTCACAGACCTAGACCTCTGGCCCCCACTTGTATACACACCCACGAGCACACATGCATATGTACTGGAGGTGCTGGCGTGGCTATTAGGCAACACTAATGAAAAGAAACCCAACTGGAGGAGGGAGAAAATATCTCTATTTATTTACAGTATGAACCTTCCCCCCTCCACCTCCCTGATCTTAAAAAAAGAATTTTTTATCTTAATTTTTGTGTATGTGTGCCATGTTTTTGTGGGTACCCATGGAGACCAGAAGATGATATTGAATCTCCTGGAGCTAGAGTTACAAGCAGTTGTGAATTGCTTGATGATAGGTGGTGCTCAGAGTCAAACCCAGGTCCTCTGGAAGAACAGCAAATGTTCTTAACCACTGAACTGTGTTACCTCCATTCCCAACATGGTGTTGTACATAGAAAGTTCTCAGAAATCTACCCAAAAAATCTATTAGAACCTATAAAACAACAACAAAAAACCCAGCTAGTTAGTGGTGGCACCTTTGATTCCCGGCATTTGGGAGGCAGAGGCAGTGGATCTCTGTGAGTTCCAGGTCATCCTGGTCCACAGAGCAAGTTTCAGGACAGCTGGGGCTACATGGAGAAACCCTGTCTCAGAAAAAAAAAAAATCTCAGTAGTTTTTCAGAATAAAGATCAATGTATAATAATCAATTGTATTTGTATTCAGTAGCAGTCATAAAATAGAAAATGAAATTAGGAACATTTCATTTGCAATAGCAACCAAAAGAATAAAACACTTGGAAATACATTTAATTTTTACCCTAAAAACAACCAAGCATTGTTGAAACTGAAGACTCAGGTCAGTGGGCAGCTATCCTGTGTCTGTGCATTGAAAACTTTCCATTAAGAAGAGGGAGCATTTGGGGCTGGAGAGATGGGCAAGAGTGCTTGCTGCTCTTGAGAGACCCGAGTTCAGTTCCCAGCACACACCAGGCAGCTCTCAGCCACCTGTAACTCCAGTTCAGGAGACCCAGCGCCCTCTTTGGCCCCCCACAGACCCCTGTACTCAGGTGTACATACACACAGACACATTCATGTTTACATATAAAAATAAAATCTTAGATTTGAAAAGGAGGGGCCATCCCCAGCCCAACCATTGAACTTCTGCACCAAGTTAAAGGAGGACACACTGGCTGAGAATCAGTGGGGAAGGACATGCCAGCTCTCTGTAAGGAGAGATAACAGTCAGATGTCTCAGGGTCTAATGGGTGGCCAGCCCTTGAAGCCTGGGATTTATGTGTACATGGAAGGTGCTTAGGAAACCTGACTGTGACAGGCATAGTGGCATGAAGATCTGACATCAGGTTTTGATCTGGATGTGATCTAACTCTGCTTCTCTGAACCCTTGACAGCTCTCTGGAACTTTGTAATGACTGCACCTTACAGGGTCTTACCCACCCTCCCTCTAACCCTGTACAGCTTATCAACTCTGTTCTCTGATCATCTTTGCTTATCCTTCCCTTTTTCTTGTACCCTGGTGGTCACACTTAGCTCTTCATCTGGCCCTTCAGTGGTCAGTGGCACCTGCCAGAATACTGGGGTACAGCATTCAGCACTGGAGGATTGTGGAAGAGCTGGGTACCCACAGGGGTTAGGGTTACTCAGGTA